TATAGTACAAATTGTAAGAAACAGCTTTTGTAAAAAGATGCTACTTCCCTCATAGGTCATGTTTTCTAGACCTTACATTTTTTTTCTCTTCTCTGGACTCAGTACACAATAAGTAGCACATTACTACGGAGAGCACTTTAATACACTACATCTGCTGCCGCTACCGCAGCGGAGCCCTGGGCCGTTTAAATCTCTGCCAGAGCCCCGAGCCCCAGGGTAGCGGCAGCAGCCACGCGATGCCGGGGCTCTGTCGGTGATGTAAAGGGCCCAGGGCTCCGCTGTGGGACATCACCTGGGCCGCCGCCGTTACCGCTGGGGCTCCAGCAGCGGGGCTCAGGCGGAGATTTAAAGGGTCTGGGGTGGTAGCAGGGGGCGACTGGGAACTCCTGGCCCTTTAAATCACCCCTGGAGTCCTGGGAGCTCTGGGAAAGGAGGAGGAAGGCTATGAATAGCTTGGCTTTCCCTCCATGTGGGAGATACCAATTGGGAAGCAGAGGGGAGAGCAGGTCTACCTGCAGTCTGCCAGCACAGCACTTCCAGGCCCAGCACCTGGCCTAACTTGTAACCCCAGCCTGCAGAAAAGGCCTAGGAGCGGACAATACTCCTGTCACCGCCTGCCAGCAACCCGAGGAGACAGCCTGTCTCTCCTGCCATTCACTGCTTCCAGCCTGCCTGCCCTGCAGCCAGCTCACACCAAATCTGGGATTTTAGAACCCATGGGTTCCAAGCTTTAAAGACTATCAGCACTGTCAGAAGGGAGTGGGCGGTTAATCCATATCCAGTGATCCCTAGGCAGGACCTGCTTTCCTGAATCAGTCTCCTGATCATTCAGCCAGAAATGGAACCGGAGGGGGTATCCTGTATTAGGTCATGGCTACACGTGCAAATGTAGAGCACTTTGAGTTAAACCAGCCTTTGGAGAGTGCAGTAGGGAAAGCACTGCAGTCTGTCCACACTGACCCCTTCAAGCTCACTGGCGTGGCCACATTTGCGGCAGTTGCAGCAGCACTGGGAGTGATGCATTATGGGCAGCTATCCCAGCATGCACGTGACTGCAACGTGCTTTTCAAATGGGGGTGGGGGTGGAGTGTGACAGGGAGTGTGTTGTATGTATGTGGGGGGAGAGAGAGAGTGGGTTTTTGGGGCATGCTGTCTTGTAAGTTCAGACAGCACCAGACCTCCTTTCCCTCTTGTTAGGAGGCTTATTCCTTCACCTTCTCACTTCCCTGGTCCTTCTCGCATGAACAGGGAGCAACAATACCCGAAGTCCAAAGGCGACAAACAATTCAATGTTTATCGGTGTGAACTTCCAGCAAGCATGATTCCAGTTTCCTTCCTCAGTGTCCCCCTTCCCAGGTCTGACACCACAGAGCCTTGCCTGTCTCCCTGTTCCCATTCCCACCCCCCCTTAGCAAAATATGATTCCAGTTCCCCCACCCCCAGCCCCTGTTCCCATTTCCCCCCCGCCCCACTTCCTGATTGACTACACACTATATAGTAAAACTTGAGTTCTGCTTAGCTATACCTTAACCAATCAAACCGGGGCACACTGCCTGATTCCATACCAAGTGGTTAAGTTGGTTTGGACAATAACCCATTTCTCTGTGGACGTTCAATGGACTTATGATGTGGACAAAAGCATGCAAAACCTGCAGGGGCAGCTTGTTACAGCTTGTTGCAACTGCCAGCAACTGGACACATTAAGATCTTAATCCTGTCGAAGGAGGAGAGGCAGTGTTTTGGTGGTGGCTCGGATATTGGACCATACTGCAGTGGTCAGGACTCAGTGTTGCTGTGGATTGTGTATTGTTAACTGTACTTTTGTTACATTGCATATGGAGATAATCTATAAGTAATGCAATGAGCCCTCCCCACCCCGCAGTGTGCAAGACAACCCGGACCCGACCGTCTCGGGCCCACTCTAATGGGAAGTCTGGAACACTAATTGGAATAGGTGTGGTATGCCCGTACGAGAGAAGGTGCAGGGCACTGTTCTACACAAGGGGCAATGGGACAAACGGAATATGGACCACCTTGATCCCTGGCCCTATCAGGAAAT